GATTTTGAATTATGAATAATATCTCTATAAGAGATCAACTTACCTGGCAACCAGACAGGGCTTAGGGAATCCAAGGGAATAGGTTGGGGTTACCAGACCTGGGAACTTGGTGGAGGGGTCCTGTGCATTTGATGCACATACTTCTGAGGAGTGGACCTGTCTGCCTGATGCTCATATCCAGCACACCTGATGAGGTAGGGGTTGGATATACTGAAAGAATCTGGACCCTGGAACAAAATGTCATTGCCAGGGGAAAGATGATGGGGGAATGAAGAAAACCCCTTCTACCTTCCATCATCCTTCTAGTATCTCCTACCGACAGGATCTAAAAAGGAAGCCAGCTGGGAAATATATTAATAATTTGCATTATAGACTATAGAAGGTGGACTCGGAGCTCAGAGATGGTGGATAAATAACCAGTACATTCCCCTATCTAAATTCCTCCTTACCACTGCACTTCTTATTTCCCTTCATTTTATGTATTTATTTACCTTGCTTGATGCCTGTGTTCCTTCATTGAATATGGGATACACAAGGTCAGTGTTCTGGTTACTATTGTATAACAAAGTATTTTAAATCTTAGTAGCTTAAAACAACAATAATTTTGTTAGATTCCTTGAATCTGTGGGTCAGGAATTTGGACTGGGTGGCTTGTCTCTGCTCCATGATGTCCAGACCTCAACTGGGGAGATTTGAAGGCTTGAGTAGCCTGACATTTGGGGGCTAGAATTAGCTTGAGGTTTCATTGTTCACATGTCTGCTGCCTGGGCTGGGATGACTTGAAGACTGGGACTACCAACTGGAATGCCTACACAGGGCCTTAAACCATGGTGGTCTCAGGGTAGTCAGACTTGAAAGGTTCCAAGTGGAAGTGTTCTAGCCACCAAGCAGAGGCTGCATCTCACCCTCAGAATTCACATAGCATTACTTCCATTCTCTGTTGACTGAAGGAGTTATAAGCCCACATAAATTCAAAAGAAAAGGAAATAGACTCTACTTCTTGGTGGTGAAGTGACAAGATCACATTATAGAAGATCATAAGGGATGGTAGAGATTCTGTGGCCAACTTTGGAAAACAATCTGCCACCCCCACCCTGTTATATCTTTGACACTAAGGAAGACTGCCTTGGCCATAGTCACTCAACTTTTTATAGCATAAGTTCCAGGCCGGGCATGGTGGCTCACCCCTGTAATCCTAGCACTTTGGGATGCAGAGGCAGGAGGATCGCTTGGGCTCAGGAGTTTGAGACGAGTCTGAGCAATATAGCAAAACCCCGTCTCTGCAAAAAACAGAAGCATTAGCTGGGCATGGTGGCACACACCTATAGTCCCAGCTTCTTGGAAGGCTGAGGCAGGAGGATTGCTTGAGTCCGGGAGTTTGAGGTTGCAGTGAGCTATGATGATGCCATGGCACTCCAACCCAGTTGACAGAGTGAAACTCTGTCTCCAAAAAAAAAAAAAAAAAAGTTCAAAAGATATGAAGGTGTTTGTGAATTTTAATTGTATCATTAAAAATGCTTTCTAAAATAATTCTTTCCTGTTTCTTATTTTTTTAAATTAATTTTTAAGAATCTATAATTTTTTGTATATGGTATAATATTCAAATGGTACAAAAGTATACATAGTAGAAAAATGTCTCCTTCTGCTCTTGTTCCTCAGCTAACAATGTCTGCTCCCCAGAGACACTGTTACCAATCTCTTCTGTTTACCTTTCCAGAGACTTGTGCAGGTGCAAGTAGATACATATATACACATATTACACAAATGGAAACTTACTAGATATACTGATTTCTACATCTTGTATTTTCATTTAAGGTTATATTTTGCTGACCTTAGTTACCATACCCGATTGAATATTATGAGTAAGATTTTGCCTTCTTTGTTGTTCATTTCATTCTGAGTTTATATTGTCCAGGGGGAAAAACCTTTATTCAATGTTTTTCAGTTAAAGATATTAAGACAGAGCCTCAGCCACTTTCTCCAGCCTCCTCAAGTTGTTCAGTCTCATCTCCTCGGTCAGTGGACTCTTATTCTTCAACTCAGCATGTTCCTGTAAGTAGCCAATCTTTTACAAAGATTTTGGTTATAATGCTATTTTGGAAGTATGTATATGGGAGAATCAGTTAACATTTACTTAGTGCTGCTGTGAGCCTTATTATCTCATTACTGAGGAAAATTGATACTCAAGGAGAAGGATCTTGTAGCTAGAAAGTTGTTAGTGTCTTTGGTTTTGCTTTCCTTCCCCAATGTTCTTGCCTCCTTAATTTCATTGTTTCATCACATTTTGTTTAATTGCATTTTACCAGTATCCAGTGTTTTTTGTTGTTGTTGTTTATTGGCTTACTATCTTTTCTCCCTGCCTTTCTTCTTCCTCCTCATTAGAATATATATTCTTTGAGGATATGGAGGAATGTAAGATGGTCAGTTTTTTAACTCCTTAGCCATAGAACCTAGAATGGTCACCTTAGTTCAGGGATGCCTAGCACTACCTTTTGAATGGGCTGAGGTTTTTACAGAAGTCTGGTAGCTCCTTTAGAACACTTCTCCCGATCCAAACAAAAGCCCTGAGTCCAGGAAAAGGAAGTACCTGATTTAAGTACTTGGAATGGGGAGAGGGAAAATATAAGAATAAAATTCAGACAATATTTTAGTATAATATATCTGCCATAAATTGAAGTATCTTTGTTCTGGCAGGGTCTACATTTAGTCAGTGACTATATCCTAGTGATTCTAATCACCTAATATCTCTAGGATTCGTCTTTTCTGCCCCTGCCAGTCCATCATCATCTCACCTGGATTAAGTCAATAGGATTTTTACTGGTTTCTCTGCTTCCCAACTCTGCAAAACCTTTTTTTGTAGAGGAATCTTCGAAGAGAAATCTTTCAAAATCGCAAACTTGTCTGGGTCAGTCCTTTGCTTAAAACCTTTTAATAGCTTCCCATTCCCAGGATGCAATTTAAATTCCCAGAGTGCTAGGCCCTCTGTGATCTGGTCCCTGCTTACTCTTCTAGTCTTCATTTCTCACTATCCCCTCCTATCTTCACAGTCCCCTTATGTTCAACTCTGTGAGAGTTCCTACCTGAGGGCATCTGTGCACTCCACTTACTCAACAATTGTGTGAGGCACTGTTCCAAATGCTGGCAGTGAACAAGAGCTGTGACACTCTTACAATTCTAGGTTTTTGCACGTCTTTCTTTTGCCTGGAATAGCCTCATTTTTTTCTTCTCTTGGAAAATTCCTCTTTCTTTAAGTCCCAGTTCAAAAATTACTTCCTTTATGAAGCTTTTCTCTGATTGCCCCTGTTGGAAAGTTCTGTGTGGTCCCACAATTTCTCCAAATAAT